CTGGAAGAAGAAATGTTCATGTCTTAAGAAAAGAAGAGTGAAACTGTAACTACAGATTACATAACACTAGAAAAGCATTAACCAAAAAATTTCAAACAAGATAATGTAAGGTATATAATCTATGTAATTAATTATGACAATATATATATTTTTTTTACTTTTTGGCATATGGCATCAAAAGTTATGGGTATGTACAATTTTTAAGATCTCTTGGCACAGAAGAAACAGATAGTTTCTGAAAATCCTGGCTACAAATCAAAGCAAAATGAAAATCTATCAATAACCAAACTGAAATACATACACTGGACAGCTGCACTCTAATTCCCGACACTCAAGTCCTAAAATACAATTTCCGTGGTCTCTGCAGTACTCCCCAGGTTTAACACGATATTCTGAAAAAATTGTTCAAATCAATGTCCATGATTGTGTGTGCATGCACATTCAAATTTCACTTCTCCCTGTCTGATTAAAAAGAAAGAAAAAAAAATGTAATGTGTTTTAAAATATCAAACCTTAACTATATATAATTAAAATAACTGAGATATTTGTAATTTGAATGAAAAATTTATGCACATTTCTAATTGAAAAGGTTTCTTTTTCTTGGTGCATATATAGACTATGGCAACTGAATACAAATGTTTAAATAAAGACAAATGCATACCATTTCTCTTTTCTGAATTAATAAATCATAGTAATGGTAACAGCATCAAACTTAAGATATCTTTTATATATCTAAAAATATTCTATAGCAAAGGCTCTTGAAGATGAAAATAAATTCACACCACCTATGACTTGCTCTTCTGAAAGACTTCAATTACTCAAACTGACCATTCATCCTCCAGTAGTTTAAAATGATTATGGTAAAATTCATATTGGTGTTACTCACCAGAGAGTCTATGTTTCTTCATGTACGATTCCTTTGGCTCGCATGATCCATTTGAGCTTGGGATGTAACCCCTTGTACCAAAAACAGGAAAGTTAAAGCCTTGAATAAATAATTGATTATTAATAGCCAAGAAAGACTGGAAATTCCTTTTGTAAAGCAAATTTCATAGGGAAACTTGTTATCCCTGATGCAGTCTTTGTCAGCACCATCTGAATAGATGATGTGCTAAGTTGTTACATCCTAACTAAACTGACAGACTCATTCAACTGTTTACTTTAAATGTCCGGCAAAGTTTAAATTCTTGACAAGGTGTCAAAGGTCCAAATGAATACATGGGATGCTAAGTACTGACTGTCAATGGTGATATAGGTACTGGCAAAGTAATTTAACACAAGTAGCACCACTCAGTATCAATGAGAATGATATCTAGCAACTGTCAAGCTAAGCTTTTTTCTTGGTTTGTTTTCCAATATTTTTTTTTATAACTGTCATTACTAAAACATACTGTAGAAAATTACAAAGATTTACCAGAGCAAAAATGGGCCAGAGCTAATGACGTCATCATGTTTAGCCAATCAGGGCACACCATCTGATATTAGATGTAGCTAGACCCATAATTTATTGTTTATTCTACGCATTATAATCATCCTCTTATATCTATGATAACAAACAAGCTATTTGAAAACTCTAGGGGGAGAGTCAACTTCATTTTGGGGTTCAACAGGCTAAATAGAAGTGAAGCTTCCTGAACTATTGGTACATCCAAGTGAAAAGAAAAACCACAAGTATCACACATGAAAGAAAATATTTAGTGTAGGATGGTGTTATTTACTGAGCATTACCTGGAGACATGCTATCAGAGATAATATATCTCACTCTTAAACAAAGAATGAAGAGTAAAAGAAACTTTAATTCCGATATTTAGTTCTGGCATTGGTATCTGAGAGTTATAAACTGAAAAAAGTCACAAGGCTTGGCTCCTTATAGTACAATCAAGATTGTTTATTCCATTTACTTCATTACTCACATTTGGTGCTTTCACATATGACACTCTTTTTTAGCATCTACTGCTCACTAAATGTGAGGCTTTACTGTACAATGAAACTCAAGGACTGAGTCTACTTTTCTGTAAATCATTTACTAACTTTTAGGTAAAGCACTTACACTTTCCAACTTACCTGGTACAAACACAAATATTATTTACGCATACAGAATGTTTACTGATATCACACAACAATACTGCCTCATCTGTCATTTTGCAGCTCCCCATCACTCTCTGTAATTGCACTGAAAAAAAAATTCAAATGTAAAAAATAACTCTAAATCTGTTAGTATCCTCGGTATGAAGTATGATAAAATACTACATTTGCTGTGAATTAATTCACAGCAAATGTACTGAAATGGGTAACAGAGTATCTACAAACATATCTGCACCTGGATATGCATTTTATTTTATAGCACTTATCAACATACCACAGTTTTCAACAAAATGCTTTAAAAATATCTCAATATGTTCAAAACTTCCAATTGAGAAGCTACAGCTCCTATCCAATCCCATAACTTATGGCCTCTCGCCTTCAGCACTTTGTGCCTCATTCCTATACATTCTGCCCCTCCCCGTTTGAAGCATTCTGCATCCATTACTGATCAAAGCATATTCAGCTCTAACACAAACTGATTAATAAATGTGAAACATCATACCTTTATGACAGGAAACACCTATCTTGTAGTAGCCCTCATCACACACACACTGATTATTGATACACTTGGAGTTTTCCCAGCAATAGGCATCCTGTAGGCATGACTTATGAGACAACCCTGAAAAATATAATTAATAGAAATCACCAGAAAAGTGACTATAAAGCATATTCCAAATATCACAGACTAATTATCCCAAAAGGGATTTTAAGCAGGTAAAAAAAAATATATATGATACTTACAACGACTGCACACTGGGTAAAGTAACTTTGAATACACTATGTTTTCACATTTACAGTGGTTGTCTTCACAGAATTCTTGACCTGGACAGTCAAAGGAATAAGTGCATTTTCCACTAATTTCCCCATCTGAAAATTAATATTTCAATTTCATATTTGATTTTCAACTGACCTAGAAAAAAATAATCGCCCAACTTTAGTTCAATTGGAGTAAGCAAGGTAGTATTGAGCCAGTTTAAAATTTTCTTATATGGTAATTAAATAGCCAGACAGCAATAAAATGTGATGAAAGGTGATATCAACTATTCAGTCTGCCCAAATTGTCTCATCACCCACTTGTAATGCCAAAGCACATAGCAGCAAATATCAGGATAATGATGCTTCTGCTAAACTCCCCCATGGTCTCAGTATTACGAAAATGGCTGCGAGGCAATGTCTATGGAGGTGCAGATCTAAATGTACTTTCTTGACTCCTGAAGATTGTTTCGGTGAGCTATCCCTTCTGATAATCTGAAAATGAATAAGGACATTACTCTTCAGGAACTAGAAGTTAATGGCCAACAAAAAAATTACCCAATACTTATACTCTTAGTCTGATACAAAATAAGTTATCTTGTATATCAATTTCACTGAATATATCAAGTTGATAAATCAAATTCTTGGGAATAAAATACACCTCACAATCCTTCATTAAAGTTTTCTATGGTAAGCCTGGAAAAATACAAATCAAATAAGCAATATACACATTATTTTAAAAATCATCCTGGTTAGTCTGCTCCTTGATGAAAGTGCTTAGTTGCAAACAAGTTAACTGGGAGGAGTCCAGGCGTATGAGCCTAATACCTTGAAAGTCAGCATTTTTCCACACAGAGCACCTGACTAGAGAAATTAGATATAGTCATATCTACAACATAACACAGTTGTTTAAGTTAGGCCCTGTTATGTAAATAAAAAAAAAAAATTAGAATGAGCAGGGTAAATTCAGTTTATGTTAAGTTAGGCTACTCAAGGAAAGGTGAAGATGCTCAAGCAAATAATCTGAAGTACCTTTGGAGAGGAAATATGGTGCAAACAGTTTTAGAACAAAAACTTTAAACTCCAAATAGGTTAGAATAAGTTAGAATATGATGGTTATCATAAATTAAGAGTGAAATCAAGTAGCTTTGGTTTTCTTGTTGCAAAAACTAAAATAAAAAATTGGGCTCATATTTAGCTGCATTCGCCAATTCACGTGGAGGGACGGCCACGCCCCTTTATACTTTGGGCTTCAGTAAAGGCAAATATACTTCATCCATGTAAGTCCTAACAAGATAGAATAGTAAATTTAGTTCTAACCAGCCTTAGACTTTCAAATCTTTCTTTTTTTCTTTCAGTTTAGCCTTTCTCAAACTTGTGCCTTAAATATATTTGTTACTTTTCATTTATGCCAAATGAACATAGAAACATGTTTCTTAGATTCAATCGCTCTTTTGTTTGCATATGTTATTTGACTTCCAAAAGACGGCAGGTTTATAATTATCCACCATTAACAGAATTGAAGTGGAATTAGGCGGTAAGTTAGAGGTACAGAGAAAACACTCCATGTTGCATGGATACATCCCGGGAGCTGCGTCACCCTTTACCAGGCGCCGAAAAGCAACACCGCTCAGCCTCGGGATTCTTCTAAACATTTTACAATATCATTTAACCAAATTGTAAAATATGATTCGTCTACTCATTTCTGTAAAATGCATTCCTTTAGACTTAGTTTACTCATAATCAAAAGGTGTGTCAACTCATACACGATAAACAGTCGTAAAAAATTACCCACGTTATTTTCAAATTTTATGTTTTTCTTCTAATCTCACATTAAATGTACCTGTACTTACAAACATCCAGGATAGCGTTAACTTCTCTATTTCATCCTAAACATCCTGTAAGACGCTACCCTTATCCTAGTAAGTGCCTTAATGACGTCTTATAAGGATGGCAAATGTATTCGTAATTATTTAAGTTACAACATAAAAATGAAACAAAAAAAAAAAATATGGATATGACATATCATTTACGTGACGCGGTTTCACCTTTAAGAATTTAAGACATATGTGGCAGGTAAGTGGTAACTCGGTTAAAAATAGACACCGTCAACAAGTGGGTGTGTATGCAGACTGGCCTATTCGTGATCCCACGAACAATGAGTCAGTCTTGCAGAGTTTTAGAGCATGCGCGATTCACACCAAGCAAACAAGCACACACAGCACACACTGCACGCACGCACGCACGCACGCACGCACCACACACACACACACACACACACACACACACACACACACACACACACACACACACACACACACACACACACACACACACACACACACGTCTTAATTTCATTTGTTACAATGGATATTCTTTGCTGTGACACTGAGAGAGAGAGAGAGAGAGAGAGAGAGAGAGAGAGAGAGAGAGAGAGAGAGAGAGAGAGAGAGAGAGAGAGAGAGAGAGAGAAAGAAAGGAGAGAGAAGAGAGAGAGAGAGAGAGAGAGAGAGAGAGAGAGAGAGAGAGAGAGAGAGAGAGAGAGAGAGAGAGAGAGAGAGAGAGAGAGACCAATTAGTATTATGTTACTTATTATACACTTGTACTAAACTATATTGCAGGATTTCATGCGAGTGCTCCAAATATTTTTTTTTCTCGGTGGCGACGTAGAGTCGCACCTGGAGCAGTTACCTGGTAGCAATTTGTGTTCATTTGTCCCTGTCCTTAATAGATAAATAAATAAATGAGAAAAAACACCTCCAACCCAGACATCGTGCTAAGTATCGAAGACACTTCATAGACGACATTTAACGAGGGTATATATATGTATGTGTCTCATCCAGGGAATGTTCGATCTTAGTCTGGTTACTGCAGTTCGACCTTTCTCAATTAGGTAAATATCCGAGTTGATGTAATTGTCAACCCCCATATATATATATATATATATATATATATATATATAGATAGATAGATAGATAGATAGATATATTATAATATCTAAGGGTTTCTTATATTTACAATCTACAATAGTACGAGAGGAGAAAAACTGTTTGGCCCTCCATTTGAATTGCCATATATTTCAGGCACCCCTCTTCCTGCTCGATTGTAGGAGTCCCACATTCGTCACCGACCCCAAAGCGTTCGCCACAATCTTCGGTGACAAGGAACTCAAAGATATCAACAATCCCTTTATTTCGAACCTTATAGAGAGGACACATCTTCCACATCTGGTATCTAAAGGGCAAGCGGATGCACTACCACGGTATCCAGCTCTGTTGGGCCACCCAGAGGAGTCGGATGAGGCCAACAATAGCCAATGTGTAACTATGATTGCAGCTGCAGCAGAAGCTGTTGAAGATGAAGAAGGGCACATAGTGGACCTCTGGCAGGTTGGAGAGGAAGCAACAAAGGATGAGGAGTATCTGTTACTAAACGAATGTGTATCCAATGATAGCTGGGTCAAGCACAAGGTTATGGAGCTGTTCGCTTTACGGCCATGCTTCAGAATGTGGCGCCATCTGTCATGTCATGGAGATCTTGGTCGGTACACTAGAGATAAGAGGCACTTCTGGTCATCCCCACAGCCCTAGTGCGCACTGCATCCAAACTCCTTGCAGGACATCAAGGCGGAGATTATGATCATGTCAGTCAGCCTACTGGCCCAGCATCGATCCAAAAGTTGAAGAAAAGCGTCACCAGTCCAGTCCCAAGTATTTGAACCGTACACCCCTTCCTACCCAGCAGAGACCATCATACTTACACCTATCCCCTAGTAACCCTATTTAGCAAGTTGGAAGACGCTGCAGTTTAAAAGCATTTAAAAGCATTTAAAATGCCCGTTAGTAACGCATTTACCAGCGGGCGTTTAACTTACATCGACAGTTACAATCGTAAATCGACTCATTTTAATAGTGGTTAACAGAGGGCTATATTTCTATAGGTGAGTTGGTGGGGAGATCTGAGAAACAAAGGTTCTCTTGTGAGAAGAAGAGGGGATAGATGTCCTAGGAGCAGAGGAAGAGGAGAGTGTAGATTTGTGAGAAGATAGAGTGGAACGTTTAGGTTGCACAACAGGTAAAGTGTGGAGGGATATCCATCGGGAAGTGGTAAAGGTTGGAGTATCTCGATTTAGACAGGAAAAGAAATTCAATTGGGGGAGAGGGGGGGTAGAGGTAGGATGGGTTAGAGTAGAGTGAATAGATACTGGGGAAGATGCGGAGACTTCTTGAGAAAATTGGAGGGGGGTCAGAGCGAAGGTCTCTACGTGAGGCCTAGTTTGAATCTGAGAATTGCTACCTCAGCTACTATAAAATACATTATGGCAGCCACCACATTTGTCACTCGTACGTGACTACGCAGGGCAATCAGAATGGTCATGATCAGGTTGGGAACCTCAGGCGGGGAGTCAGGGTGCACAGTTCCATAGACTTTAAAGCTTCAGTCATGCAACATATTTGCTATAAATAGCCGTATACTTATTAAAATTCATTAAGTTTACAGGTTCAGTGTCGCATTTCCTTAATCCAATGCCTCCGGTATTGTTATGTAAATGTCTCTGTACATAGATGGTTCTGCCACAAAGGAGTCAATCAGTAGATCTTGTAACTTCATCTTTCCTTGAGTTGGCGGGAAAACCACTTTTTTTTACTATTGCTATCAATATTGATATTGTTACTTTTATCATAAGCATTGCAATTACTATATTGTTATTGGCTCTGCAAACAACAGTATCATTATCATCACCATCGTGGAGCTTAGCATACAGTTCAAAGAAAACACACGAGTCAACCAGAAATAGCTGACACAGGCCGGGTCACTCAAGCGAAAAGGCCCGGGTGAATCTAGATAGACTTCGCAAATCTAACTGAAATGAACTGGACTGAAGTGTAATATACATTATAGGAGCTACCACAGTTGGCACACGTGCATGGCTGAGCAGAGCAATTTGTCCTGGTAGTGTTTAATTCTTTTGTCTTCTTTGGTAGTGATATACTTTTATTGTAGTATAATAATTGGTTATTGATGAAATTAAATTAACAAGTAATTATATGAAAAGGTAATTTTCTATATTACCTCCGCCGCTCCGATATCGACGATTTTGGTATCGTTGGATTCCTCTCACTGTCCACATTACAAATATATAGTTTTTATTATGCGGAAACCCCCTGTTAGCGACAAAGTTGGCCCCGATAGCAGGGGAAGGGATGAAAGGTTACAGGGAAAATGCGGGGCTAAATAACACTAGTAATATAACGCATATTGAAAATAACCATGGCTATTCACATGACTTTCCATTACAGGGGGTTGTGCCCCCTGCGACCCCCCTGAGGGGGGGAGGCTGCCGCTCCCTAATCCCCGCCGAGGAAACATATCATCCACCACGTATTCACGGCAGGCAAAAGCGTTACACAATTATCGTCGATGTCGGAGCGGCGGGCGTAATATTACGATTACCTCGTAACATTCCCACTGAATCAGCATACTAACCTTGACATAGTCAACATTGTATACAGATACGATTGTAGTATAATCAGGATGAACAAGGTATACCATGAACAGAAGAGCGGCGGTGGCCCGCCCTCGTCGGCTCGGCGGGTTTTGAAGACGTGGGAGATATTTTGTTTCCTGGTTGGGGGGCGGTAGCTCCTCCCCCCCAGGGGCCGTCGCAGAGGGTACAGCCCCTGCAATGGGAAGTCATTTGAATAACCATGGTTATTTTCAATGTGGGGTTACATTACTAGGGTAATTTTCTATATTACGTCCGTCGCCCCTGCTATCTGGGCCAAGTTTGTCGCTATAGGTGGGTTTCCGCGCAATAAAACCTACATATTTGCATTGTATAGAGTGAGAGGAATCCAACGATTTCCAACAACGATTTGATGCTGCTAAGAATGGTTATGTATGAGGCTGTCCTTTGTCTCATTATCCTGTAATCCAACATGACGGAATCCACATGAAGGTGATTACCTTTCCTTATTGTCTTAGCTGATTAATCTTGAATAGAATGGTAGCCACGAGTAGTATGTTGTCTGAATGAAAATTTTGTTGTAAAACACATAGAGCAGATAGTGAGTCTGTTAATAAATAGAGCTGGGTGTCTTTCAACAGAAGGGTATGGGTGAGAGCTGCACTAATAGTAAATAGTTCAGCTTGTAAGGAAGAGGCTCCATCGCTGATTCTGGTGTTAAAGACCTGATCCTGGTATACAAAAGCTGAGCCGGTTTTGCTGGAATGACGGTCAACAGATCCGTCAGTGTATATAACTGCAAGATCTGATTCTTCTTCAAGGGAATGTATTTGCCTCTCCAATTTTGAGAGGTCTGTGGCAGATGACTGTGTCTTGGATCTAGGAAGGGTACGTTTGATGAAAGAGGATGTAGGAGGATTCCAGGGTGCTGGTGAGGAGTAGACAGGGTGGGGATGATCTGTTCCTCTTGCCTTTATAATTTCGGTGAGATTAAGGTGGTCCAGTGAGCTAAGGGCATGTTGGTGCCATGGCAGATTATGAGGATGGAAGTCTTGAGGGTGGAAAACAAGATTGCAGAGTTTGGAATCGATTGGTGATGAGTTGGGTCTGGAGACAAATTTTGAAATCTGTGTAGCTATCTGGAGATCTATTCTGGTCTTCAGGGAAACTAGTCTGGGTTCCATACGTAAATTTTCGAGACGAGTCCATCTTGGTGCACCGAGGATAACTCTCATGCATTCGTTTTGTATTGTTCCTAGTTTCATGAGATGGACTGGAGCCAAAGTTTGTAGGGAGATGGCGCTGTAATCAGTGATTGAACGTATACCTTGGATATAGAAAGTTCGGAGAAAATGGAACCCGGGCCCCATTTCCGTGGCAAAGAGTCAGCGGAGTACATTTATTCGAGACTTGGTCCTTTGGAGAACATGGTGTAACTGAGCAGAGGAGTCACCCTGACTATTGAAGACCACTCCAAGGCATTTATATGTTGATTCCCATTGAAGTTGCTGTGTGTCGATGTATAAGTACTGATTGGGTATCCATCGTCTGAGTTGTAAGGCCCTGGTCTTGTTGGTGTTAATCTTGAGACCAAGATCTTTGCATTTGGATTATATAGAGTAGGGCTTGTTGGGTATTGGGAAGTCGGTAACTGCCGGTTGATATCACTTGTATGCCATCTGCATAGGCAAGAAT